CTTTTTTCCCCCCCTGCCACAAGTACAGCCTGCTGTCATTCTCTGTCCTTTTCACCACTTTGGGCTGTGGGATGTGGGCTGTGGCAGGAGACTAGGATGCCTCGCTTCTCTCAGTCATAGGTCAACCAGTGTGCTGGTTCTAGAGAAAGGAAGAGAGTTTTTCTTTATGGTTGGGGGACTTATGGCATATCTGGGCTCTACTTCTCCAGCTTTAAGTGCATCTCACATAATAGGGGAGAAGACATCTTTTAAAGGTTATTTGGTTTTGTCTTCAGTGATTCTTTTTGCCCAATGTCAATCTGTGTTTTAAATCTTCCCCAAATCTGATTTAACTTCATGTGTGTGTGTGTTTTCTTGTAGCCTTTTGAAGTAGACCTTTCCCACGTGTACCTAGCCTATACAGAGGAGAGTCTGCGTCAATCTTTGATGAAATTAGAAAGGCCACGGACCTCCAAGGGGAAAACAAGGCCAAAGACTGGGAGACGGTGAGGACAGCCCCAAGTCCCTGAAGTGACAATGTTGTGATACTATATTTAGATACATCTAAAGGAAGTCAAAGTTTAGTTAACATGATGTGGTTTGAAATTATATTCTGTATGCTATTCCAATTTGATAAGCAAAGTAGGGATAAAGAATTGTACTCTGTGAGTTCGAGGCCAGCCTGTTCTACAGATCAAGTTCCAGGACAGCCAGAGCTGTTAACAGAGAGACCCTGTCTCAGAGTTGGGGGGTGGGAGGGGTTGTATTTCATTCTAGGACAGTTGGGGTGGCACACCCTTTTATCCCAGGACTTGAGAGGCAGAGGCAAGCCTCTCAGATTTCTCAAATCACTATGAGTTACAGGCAGACCTGGTCTGCATTAAAATTTTAAGACAGCCAGGGCTACATGAGACCCTTTCTCAAAACAGAAAAAGAACTACATTCTTTCAGACTCTGCCCACAGGGGACTTCACTTTTCATTCCTAGTGTTTACCCACCACCTACTGTTTTGTTTAGGGTCTTAATTTTTACACTAGTACTTCTATTAAGATGCTAAGTAATTTGCCTAGTTTGACCCCAGAATACTGTATTCACCTAGTCAGTTTGCCCCAAGGACATTGATTTCCTAGATCTCAAGTTAAGAAAAGCTTGTGTGACTCTCTAGCACCAGTTTTGATAATTTTGTAGTCTCTGTGCTTCATCACATAAGCTCAGTGGGAAGCCTGGGCTGGCACTAATGCTCCTTGTGTTCCTCCATTGAGCTAATTTGAACCAATTGCAAGACTTTTGCTTTACATGTAAGGTGAAGTGAATGGGTGTTATGTTTTTGTGTTACATAGTCTTTTAGATACAATGTAACACTAAAAATGTTGGAATCATTAAACTAGGGCTAGAAAGAATCAGCTCCGTGTTAAAATGTATAAGATTTTTGCATTTAGCATTTAGATGAAGGATTTAAAGATTTTCATATACTAACTGAATCTTCACATGGAATCTTTAAGAATATATAAGTATTCACCAGGCATTGGTGGCTCACACCTTTAATCCCAGCACTCAGGAGGCAGAGGCAGGTGGATCTCTGTGAGTTGGAGGCCAGCCTGGTCTACAGAGAGAGGTCAGGACAACCTCCAAAGAAATACAGAGAAAACCTTTCTCAAAAACAAACAAACAAAAAACAAACAAAAAAAGTATTTATTTTATCTGTATGTCACTGTTTTGCCTGCATATTTATATGTTGCACTGGTGTTAGATTTCCTGGAATAGTTGGTTACAAGCCACCAATGTGGATATTGGGATATGTGCTCAGGTCCTCTGGAAGAGCAACACATGCTGTTATAAAACACAGCTCTTGAGCTGCCCACCCCCCCCTTACAAGGTTAGTAGATGCTGCCCTCTGAGTTCTGTGGTCACTAGGAAGATGCACTTCATACATGGCAAATGATAGAAACAGTCAGCCTCACAAAGACAGGCAGTAGAGCAAGCGGGAGAGTGGTTCTGTCCCTTGTTAGTGTAGAACAGAGGCCATATTATTGCTGGACCATTGTCTTTATGAGGAGAATCCAGATTACTTACATAAGGTCTCTCAAGTTCAGCTACATTTTTTAAAATGTATAGTCCTTAAAACAATGATAAGCTATGTTGATATAGTTTCTATAATGCACCATTGTAAAAATATGCTTTTTGTTTAGCTTAAGTTAAAGAAAATACTTGTGGGCCAACGTGTGATCCAGACTCTGTAACAGAATCAGAAACTGTAATTTTCCTACAGTTGTGTTGTGAGTGTCCCATGCTTTGCTTCACGAGAGGCATGCAGTTTGGTGTGCTGGACAGCAACAAAGAAGGCCCATGAGAGTGCTCCTGCAGGCGCAGACACTGTCCGGCTTCTCTGAGGCTCTCTGTCCTGTTAGCCTCACAGAGGAAATGACCAAGGGGCATCCCTGATAGGCTCAGCTGACAGCTGTCTCTGCACCTTGTCTGATCCTGTGCTCAGCGCCTCACACTGGAACACTGTACTGTGGCAATGTGTTCTTGTGTTTGCCTTTGGTGACCTTATCTACTCTAAAAAACGGTATCACTCAAACTGCTATGGTCAAGCATGGGCAGTGTTGGTCCATCTGGCCACATAATGTATTGACTGTCTCTTAAGGAGAAGCACTCATCTTGGATTTTTTTTCTCTCTTAACAGAAAGCGTTCCGCAAAGCCTGAGACCGTAATTGATTCGTTACTTCAGTAAATGTTACAGAATTAAAGTTACAATAAAAAAAGAGTGATATTCTCATGCCTGAACAGAAATCCTTAATTAAGACATTGAGGACACCTATGTAATTCACATAATGGAAGCTGTAAATTATGGAGTGAGACTGGAAATAGCAATTTTCCTAATAACTTTTAGACTTAAGTTTCTGTAATATGTAAGTGTGCATAGCTGGTGATTGCAGGGATGTCACACTGGGCCGCAGTACTCTGCGGAAGTAAGGACACCGTTCCTATAGAGCATTATGGTTGTATGTGAATGTGCATCTCTTAGCTATGTACTCAACTATTATGTATCTAGATAAACAGAATCTCAGAGTAGAGGAAGTCTGTCTTGTTTGCACCCAGCGCATAGCAGATGGCCTTGTCCTGTGTCCTGTGTCAATACCTGGGCGGCTCATCTAAGCAGTAACTTGTCCTAACATCTGACAGGCCTGTCTAAATGCATTCCAACTTTATGCTAATGTTGATTGCATTTAGGTATGAGATGACTGATTTTATGGATCTCCTTTAGAAAATTGTATAATTTGACAACTTTGCAGGTTTACATTTAAAGGTACAGTTTGAACATGGGCTTCTTCTGGCCTCCCTGACTGACCTTCAGCCTTTGTTGTGGTTGCTGGTTTGACTTCCCCACCAAAGCTAGCATTAGCCACTAACCTTTGCTGTCACACATATTTTTGTTTTTGTTTTTTTTATTTGTTTTTGAGACAGGGTTTCTCTGTGTAAGAGCTCTAGCTGTCCTGGAACTCACTCTGTAGACCAGGCTGGCCTCAAACTCACCTCCCAGCGACACACACATTTTTAAAAATTCCCTTGGACATATGGCTTACAGACACCCCATTGTCTGAATTTTAAATTTTGATGGAAATGACTGTATAAAAATTGAAACCAGTCTCATTTTTCAGAAAATGAAGCTAAGCCAGAAAATACCTTTTAATTTTCTTTATAACGTTATATATATATATAATAATGCTCTCTGAATTTCTTCTGTTGACTAATCCAGTTAGGCCATATTCCTCTCCAAAAAAAAGTTATATAGTAAGTTTAATAAATGTTTTTTATAATAAATGGATTTTTTTTAGGTGCCTACTTAGAAAATTTGTTTGAAGGTTATGTGCTTCTGAAACCTATCATGTTTTCTAAGTTTGAAATTACACAGTCAACTCCAGGCTCTTGATTGCAAAGGTTTTGAGACTTCCCAAGTTAGAATTAGTTAGGTTACTATGATTTTAACAAGTTTGGGTAAATACTGACTTATAATTACAGAGCTATGTGTAGGCTGTGTATGACTGAGTAGAGATAGAGCCCTGGTGAGGTGATGGAAAATTTGGCCATACATTTGTGGAGCCTTCCAGAAGGAGCACTGGATGTCCCACATGTGCAGCGTGTACTGATGTGACCATGGCCACTGTGGCAATGTCCTCAAGGTGGTGGATGTGGCCTGGGTGCTGTGACGCCCTGAGCGAGTGTGTGTCTTGTAAAGCTCATGTGAGCCAAGTGTCCTGGTGATGTCACATTTCTCCCTGGTATAAATTTAAATGTTAGTAATTACAAAATCTTAATTTTACCATTAAGGAAAAAGAATCTATATGCCTTCACTTTAAACATCCATGTTCCTATCATTTAACAGTTGGCCCAGAAGGAGTATCTGCTGTGAATTTAACTAAAACATTAGAGACATTGAATCTAGTGTGTTAAAGCCTATAACAGCAACAAAATAATGCCATAAAAACTGAAAATATTGAGAAAATTCTCTAAGTATCCTGGCTTAGTAATTTTGTTTGCCTGCTTGCTTGTTGTTTTGAGACAGGATCTCTCTGTGTTAGCCCAGGCTGGCCTGGTACTCAAGATCCTTCTGCTTCAGCCTCCCATGTGCTGAGGTTGCAAGTGATGTCATCACGCCAAGCAGTGTGTTCATTAAAGCGTTTGTATTAAAACTCTAATAAGGTGGACATTGTTCATTTCTTGAGAACCAAATAGGATTCTTGACCTGTTGGGAGGTCCGTTTGAAGATGGTGGGACATCCACTCTGTCACAGCAGTGCTGTAGCCGCTTCTCATTCACTGTGTCTTTGTCCACAAAAGGAATAGTTTGCATTTTCAGTGTTAATTTCATGAATGGAGATGTAGAACAAACTTGACTAATGTTTAAAATAAATGTACAGATTTTAAATGAGTGGGACAGAGCTATAAATGATGAGTACCCTTTTCCTCCTTAATTTAAAAACTGGTATTTATTTATTTGAAAGGAGCCCTAGTAGGAAGTTGTGCTGGCTCTGCCCTTACATGCTCTGTGCAGCTAGTGTTTGCCTGAAAGTGGAGTCCTCTCACAAGCTGCCTCATGTATATTCTGGAAAAGGTGATTTTCTACTTTATGTTGTTGGCAGCCAGAATATCAAGGTTACTTTGGAGAGGAAAGTATTGCTTCATCTGCAACATGTTTTTAAAGTTATGATTCGAGTTTTAGCATTTCTGTTTTCATCTTAGGGTTAGAATGTGTCCCATCCTTCCCCACCCCCTTTTAAGTCGTAATGCAAGGAACACCCTCTTTCCAATAGAGCTGTGAATTGAGGAATGGGCAAAGTTTACATTTACACACACCTGTGTCTGCCCAGTTTCTCCCCTCCCCCTTTCCATTTTGAAATAGAGTTAGTTCCATGTAGCCTAGGATGGCCACAAACCCTGTATGTAGCTCAGGTTGGCCTTAAACTCCTGGGCCTCCTCTACCTCCACCTCACGATCACTGGGATAACACTTATGCATCACTACCCCGTCGTTTATATATATAATTGTTTTCTTCTTTTTTTTTTTAACTACTAGAAAACAGTTCTTCCTAGTGCCTTTGAACTGAGCCTGCAGTTTTGACTAATTAGAATCAGTGCAAACCTGAGAAGCATTACTGTAATGCTGTTACTGACCAGGATACAAACTGTATAGTAAGTTTGCTGTGTTAATTCAGAAGCCACACTTGCGTTGTACTTATGTATAAATTGTATTTGCTCAAGCTGTATATATCAATGTTGTGTGTACATGCAGCATGGTAAGATGAGAAATAAAATTCCTCCCCAATGCCTACTGTCTTTTAAGACATTTTTATTTATTTTTATTTTGTTGTCTTCCTACACATGTGTGCACCATGTGTATGCCATGTGCCTGTGTTGACCAGACAGTACTGGATCCCCTGAAACTGGAGTTACAGTTATGAGTACCATGTGTGGTAGACTAGGCAGGCTAAAGAAATTCAAAGTGGGCTTTGAGAAGTTTTGATTTAATGACTAGTTTAAAGGACTCTTTTTTTTTTTCACGTTAGCATTCATAGTGACTGAGCTTCATTGTGTCATTTTCAGACACCCATTTCACTAGGCTGTGCTCCTGTTCATCTCCTTTGCTTGCCTTGGTCCCCTTCCTCTACCCAAAACTCTTCCCTCTGCTCTTATGCAAAGGACTTATTTTTTAAAGCTGGGTTTTCTCCCTTTCCAACTGTGAGCTTTTATAGAACTCCTCCTGTGGAGATGCTATATACACTGTCCTCTGAGTCAGACTACGTCCATCTTTGGGAGTCCAGCTAAGCTTGATGACTGTTGACAGTCCTTGGAAGGAAGGTGCAGGGAGCATCATCCCCAGCTGAGATGATGGCTTCTCCTTGGCTATGTAGATGGGGCTATCTCCCCTCATCCTTCCCCACTTAGGTTCTCCAGTTATCGCCCCCCCCACCCTGAGGCCATATGCAATTAGGCAGAAATACAACTGGGGTAGGGGTCGGCTGGACACTCAGAAGGGTCCCAGGACAGCCCTAAAGCAGTCTTCTCTAAAGGCTGAAGGCCTCTAAAAATGATGTCTGCATGGTTTCCTTTTTCCTTTAAAGACAATTATTTGCCGGGCGTTGGTGGCGCACGCCTTTAATCCCAGCACTCGGGAGGCAGAGGCAGGCGCATCTCTGTGAGTTCAAGACCAGCCTGGTCTACACCCCACCAAAACCATAGAGAAACCTGTTCTCAAAAACCACAAAAAAAAAAAAAAAAAAAAAAAAAAGAATTATTTTATGAGTCTGCATGATTTGTCTGCATCTATGTGTGTATGTGCACTGAGTGTGCCTCATGCCTGCAATGAACAGGAGAGGACATCAGATCTCTCAGAACTGGAGTTAGGGACAGTTGACATCCACCATGTGGGTCCTGGATTCCAGTCCTGCAAGAGCAGCCAGTGCTCTTAATGGCTGAGCTGTCCCCATCGCCCCCCTCCCAGAATGTTTTAATTGAACTACATGGTCTAATGGCCTCTTTACCTCTTGATAGTTGGCTCTGGGTCACCATTTCCTACACCCTTTCTTTGAGACTAATAACATTAATTTTGGGGGATGTTCATATGTGTGCAGGTGCAGGGTTCTTACTGCTTTAGGGCTGGCAGATGAGTGAGCCCTGGGTGTGTGTGCATTTCTCTGCCCTACCCCTACCCCCCCTGCCAGATACTGCTAAACTCTGTTTTTTAGATGGATGCTGGGTCAAACTTAGAATTTTACTTGCTGAGCCATCTCCTCAGCCATGACCCTTACCTGCTTTTAAGATTTTATTTTTATTTATATTGTTTGGTGGGAGTGGGGTTGGGAGGTATTTGCACATGAGTGCAGTTGCCAGTGGAAGCCACAAGGGGGGGTTTTTAAATGGGGTTACAGTCAGTCATGAGCCACACCTTATAGGTTCTGGGAACTAAATTCCAGTCCTCTGGAAAAGTAGTATGTGCTCTTAACCTCTGAGCCATCTCTATAGTGTCCCTTCCCTTCTTTGCATGCTTTTTGATTGTTTTTTTATGAGACTGTCTTACTTAGCCCAGACTGGCCTCCAACTGTGTATGTAGCCAAGGATGACCTTCGGTTTCTGAATATGTTGACTCCGCCCCCTGAGTGCTGACATCACAGGCAGGAGCCACCAAGGCTAGCCATCATTGCTGTTTCCTGCCCTCATCTTTTCCAGTGAATCACTCAATTCATTTGTAAAACTAGGCAATATCTGAATGAACGATGATCACTGGCAGCCCAAGTCCAGCGGCAACAGCCCAGGGGCTCTGAAGCCCCGGCCTGACCTTCAGGTTGAGGAGCGGAGCCTCCAGACATTTGTTAGTGGATTAGCAAAATTGCTCCTTCTTAAGCCGTTTTATTTGCAAAGCAAATCAGGTACTCAGTCTTCCTTCGGAAGCTGAGCCCTTGTGTGGGAAAGTGATGGTGAAGAGGCTACTTCAAAAACAACCTGTTTCCTCTCAGCATTTATCTTGGGCTTCCTGCGACCCAACCTTCAGGTTACTTTTATCAGTGTTATCAGAACATCGGGCTGTCTTACCCAAACACGGTTATGGCTCTGAAGCATGGGACAGATCGGATGCTCTCCCACACCTGCTCCCCCCTCCCCTCCCCTCGCCTCTCAGAGGGCTGGGGAAATTTGAGTTGTAATCAAAGGCTGAGTTTCTCCAATTGTAGCTAAGAGTTTAACTGGGACTTTACAACCGAATAAAATTTTCTCAGAGTCCGATACCAATCTTAACAAAGAGGATATTGCCTAACCCGACCTAAAAGTACCAGAGACGCTGCAGAAATGCTAAACTGGCCCCAGCTTTTGATCCCCTCCTAGAGTTTTGCCCCCCACTGGCCAGACAGCCCTTCTGTTGCTAATTCTTTAAGTTAATACACAAAATGGTCGGTTGGTTTCTCTGTAGCACCCTCACACACAAACACCATCATAATGTGTTTAAATAGTGCCCCTCGCCCGCCCACTCTTCCTCCAAATAGTCCTGGCTTCTGCTGCTCACAGATCACAAGGTATTCCACCCACTCCACCCATGAAGATCCCATCCTCCTCCCTTAATTCCCTTTCACTTTACCCATGTGCACACACTCTGATTACACACAGATTTAAATCCAGATTCTGCAGAAAACAGAAAAAATTATCTTTCTCAGTCTGGTTTTATTTTGTTTAACATAATCTCCAGCTACATCTACTTTCTTTGAGCATCATTTCATTCTCCATGCCTAAGCATGATTCCATTGTGTATATGAATGACATTTTTTTTTTGTTTTGATTTGATTTGTTTTTTGGCCCCGAACTCACAGAGAACTGCCTGCCTCTGCCTCCTGAGTGCATGCGCCACCCCCACCCCTGGCTACAAAAAGCATATCCTTTATCTGTTTATCTGTTAATAATTCTTGGTTCCATATCTTCATGATTTTGCAGTGCTAAAATGATTGTGAATGCACAAGCTTCTCTGTGGTGTACTCACTTACAATCCTTCCGGTTTATAGTGAGTAACGGAATCATATGGTAGATCTGTGTCCAGTTTTTTGGGGGGAACCACCGCATAGCTTTCCACAGTAGTTGTCCCAGCATACTTTTCCATCAGCTGTGTATAAGTGCTCTGGTGCCTCTTTTAAGTGTATCTTGGGATTGGGGAGATGACTCAGTGGATAAGGACACTTACTGAGTAGGCATGCAGACCTGAGCTTAGGTCATCAGCAGCACTTAGAAGCTGGTGAGGGCAGCCCAAACTGCCCAGAGTAGGTGAAGACAGGTGGGTTCAGGGCACTCACTGGCCCAACTATCTGATACGGTGAGCTCCAGGTTAAGTAAGATCCTGGCTCAAGAAGCAAGATAGAGAGATGGCTCAGAGGGTAAAGGGCCTTGCTGCGCTAACCTACCAACCTGAGTTCAATGTCTGATACCCACCTAAAGGAGGGAGAGAGAACTGACTGCACTTCAACATGTGTGCCATGCCACACACGTACGCATGCGTGGCACACACATATACACTCATACACATGCATACACTCACACTCATGCACACAAACATACACCCATATACACTCGCATGCCCCCCCCCACACAATCTAACATTCATAAAAATAAAGTAAGATAGTAATTGAGAAAGACACATGAAATTGCCTGACCTTCACGTTGTAATGTAAAGTCACATGCACATACATGCTTGTGCACACACAGACAAAGGCAGTCAGGAGAGCTAAGCTGAGAAAGTCATAGTCTCCGTGTGGAAGACCAAGAGGCTGGGGGGTGTACCTCACAGCAAAATGCTTCCCTACTGTGCACAAGGCCCTTGGTTCAATCCCTAGTACAGCAGGAGGGGGAATCTTTTTTTTAAATAATTTATTTTTATTTTATTTTCATGTACATCTGTGTGTGTGTGTTAGATCTTGGAGTTATAGACAGTTGTTAGCTGTCATGTGGATGCTGGGAATTGAACCCGGGTCCTCTGCAAGAGCAGTGAGTGCTCTTAACCACTGATCTATCTCTCTAGTCTGAGGGGGAATCTTTTTAAAACTGTTTTGTTTTAAAGAGAAGCCAGTTCAAGAGTTGTCAGCCACAACAGCTACTTAAGAGACTACAGTGCCCAAGAGTGGAACCCTACCTTGTGTTGAATAAATTAATCCTAGGAGTTAACAAGACATTGGCCCCAAGGCTAGAGAAAGCCCCTGCCTTGCCCTGGGTGGAGGTTGACAGAGCTGAGACCCACCCTGGCCTGTGTGTTGACGGGTCACACTGTGGCTCTCCCACCAGGAAGCTGTGGGCTGCATTTTGTCTCTGGGGATCTTGATAACTGTGGGGTGCCAACTAAGAGGACAGATGCAGGGGGACAAGAAAAACCAAGGCCACAGGCAATGGTGCAGACAGAGCAGTACCAAAAAGAACCCCTGGGTCATTTTTTAAATTACATTTATTTACTTGAATGTGTACACGTGTGTGCATGAGCACTTATGTGCAACAGCCATGTGGTGCCTGGAAGACAGATTGTGGAAGTCAGTTCTCTCGTACCATGTAGGTCCTAGGGACCAAACTCAGGTCTTCAAGCTTGGTAATGAGCCTCTTTATTTGCTGAGCCATTTTGGCTGGCACATCCGTGTGGCATTTTTAGTAGAGGCCAACATTTCTTAATCCCCCCCCCCAAAAAAATGTTGTACACAAGACACAGCTATATGTTTTTGTTATTCGTTTATCCACTAGATATGTAGTACCCATTGCCAAATGCCAGTTACCTAGCCAGATAACCTATCCAGTGGCTTAGGGCAAAGGCAGTGGCAATGTGAATGAATCATGGAAGAAAGGGCCAATGGTTCTGCCTTCGCGGTCAGTGACAGGGTGTACTCCACCGAGCAGGCGCTGGCTGTGGCTTAGGTGGCCTCCATAACTGCTCCAATCACAAGCCTCATGACTTTCACTTAATCCTGGTTTCTTCACTCACCTGTTTTATATCTGTCCTTAACCTGTGTTCTCTTCTTCTCTCGGTCCAATCAGAGGTTGGTGGTTGGATGTTTAAACCCAGAGTCCAGGACCCCCTGTCTGAATGCAAACAAGAATGTTAGTATATTCTGACCATCCGAGCTTCTTGTGACCGACTGACCTAGAGCCTGCGTATGTGCTGTGGTTGGTTCCAGGTCTTTCTTTTTGACATCCTTTCCTTTGTCATCCTGGCCTCATATACCAAGTTCAAACCCACAACTCATATCCTGTGGCAGACACAGCTCACATTAGCCAGCGCATGCAAATGAGCTTCAATCAAAGGAGAGAGGAAATTAAAATTTTCACTGTGTATCTTCCCCAATTGGCCTTAGAAGCTTTTATTGCCCTTGGCACACTGGTATTTTATGTGGGCAGGGTGAAACTGACTGTGGTCAGGGTGAGATTTTAAGCTTTTGATTTGTTTCCCCTCGTTTTGAAGGGGTTAAAAAGTTGGTATATATTTTTGGTGTGATTTTAGTATTGGTGTTAATTTTCGTCACATGCATGTGATTGAGGGTCAAAAGGGTGCCAAGTCACTGTTCCTAGATTTATCCTCCCTCACAGAGAACCTTCTGAGGGTGACTTTGATGCCATGGGTCTTGATTAGTTTTTCTTCTCTCACTTCCTTCCATTTTAAATAGCAGTGTTATTAATATATATATTGCCCTTTTAA